ATGAATCCTAGCAGGTTCACACAAAGATTCTTCGTCAAGTGCATCACATTGATTGCATTGCGGACCTCTAGGACTTGCCAATATGGTAGCTCCCAAAAATATGGACTTCTTCTACAATGGTGTGTGTCCGTTAGCATCATTCGGAACAGGTTGGCTGCCAAGTCCCTTTCCAAAGACTACTTGTACATCCATGACCATATTGAATACATCCTCACCACTATGGTTTGTAGGCTTCATCCGATGATCTCGCCTTACCTTTACCCTTTCCTTCTTAGGGGCACTTCATAGGAAGAAATCAACGATGTCCAATGTACACAACCTTTCAACATTTTTTCAAATATATACTTTTGGTATCATCTAAACAGTGTATGCGTGACCTTATATCCCTTGTTTGTCCTGTCTTAAAAGATTACTAAGAGCGGGCCAATCATTCATTATTACAAACAACAATGCTCATATGTCAAATTCTTCCTATTTGTGCTCATCTCGACACATCGATGCATGTTTTGTTCCACAAAAGTAGAAGTTCTTCAACCAATGGCCTTAGGTACACATCAATGTCTTTGTCAGATTGCTTTGGGCCTTGGATGAGCACAGACATCATAATGAACTTCGCTTCATCCACGTACCAAGGAGAAAGGTCAGAGAAACATAGAGTCACAAGCCAAGTGCTATGACCGCACGTTTCTACTATCCGAAAGGATTCATGCCATCCGTACTTACACCAAACCTTAAGTTTCTTGCATCAATTGTAAACTCTGGGAATTTTGTGTCGATTGTTCTCCACGCTAGGACCCATCAAGCGGGGTGTCTCAACATAGCGTCTACCTTACGGTCTTCTTTGTGCCATCGCAGCAACTTTACATGCTCTTTGTTTCTGAACAAATGTTTTAAGCGTGGTATTATAGGAGCATACCACATCACCTTGGCAGGGATTCTCTTCTTGCGACGTTCGCCCTTAACATCACTAGGGTCATCTCGCATGATCTTATACCGTGATGCACTGGAGACCAGGCATGCATCCAAATTCTCATAGTCCTCACTGCAGTAGAGGATGTAGTCATTAGAACATGCATGTATCTTCTGCACCTCTAATCCCAGAGGGTAGGGAACCTATTTTTCTTTGTATGTAGTGGCAGGAAATTCATCATCCTTCATTATCTTGTTTATGATTTTCAAGAACTCCCAAATCCTTATGTCGGATACACCATTCTTTGTCTTCCATTGTAGCAATTCCAGTGTGGTACCTAGCTTTTTCTGCCCCTCTTCACAATTTGGGTATAGCAATTTCTTGTGATCCTCTAACATGCACTCAAACATAATTCTCTCATTTTCACTTTCGCAGTCTCTGTGCATCGCAAATGGCCTGACCAAGATCGTCAGCGGGCTCATCTTCTATCGCTACCTCTTCTTCAGCTTCCCCCATTGCAGTATCATCAAAGGCATCGTATTCAGTGAACTCAGGAATGTTGTCATCATCATCTTCTTCTTCATTGTCTTCCATTATAACCCCACTTTCTCCGTCCTTGGTCCAACAAATATAGTCGGGCATAAAACCCGACCTAAGCAAGTGTTCGTGAAGGGTCCTTGAGGAAGCATAATCCCTCACATTCTTACTGAGAACACAGAGGCAGCACATGAAACCATTCCGCTTATTTGCCTTGGCTACATCGTAGGAAATCATGCACGCCTCAATGAACTCTTGGGAGCGGCGGTCAGCGTTGTACATCCATTGCCGGTTCATCTGCATTACATGAGCATATCAAAAAATTGAACATGCCAATATCCATATAGTACACAACATGCATGATTAATTAATTAAAAGGTCCAAAATATTCATTACTCAACATGATTAATTAATATCTTACCATAGTTGTTTCACTTTAACGTTGATTTATTAAAGCCTTGATACAATGCAGACAATCCCAAATAGCACTAAACAAACTAAACCTATAATGCACTTCAACAGAACAAGGATTTGGTGACCAATTCCAACTAAAACAGACAAATTGTTTGTCAGTTCTTCGTCGATGGGCTTCTTCTGCTGGTTCACTACCTCTTCATGCACAGGTGCACTCTCATCAACCGCCTCAGACGATTCTTGCACGTGCTTAACATACTCTTCCTCCTAGTACCAACTTGCACATCCAGTGCCATCCCACTGAAATTAGAATATAAATCAACAACTTTAATCAAAATCATCACGAAAATGGCTAAAAACATAAAAAAAAACGTGACCAAAAGAACTCACATTTTGATCCGGACACGTCTAGAAGATGCCGCCTTGGTTGGGACCCTCCTTCACCCTGTACTCCAACACGCTCTTCTGCTTACACTTGTCGCACGCAATGAGAGGGAGGTCCGGCCTTAGTTGCTTACAAACCCGATGCGTGGACGAGGACCCGAAAGCAGTTGCCATCTACTCTATACTCATTTTAATCAACTGCTATAAATTTCTCCCACTTCTAAACCATGAAATGAGCTATATAATAGCAATGAAAGGTGGATACTCATTTTGATCAACTACTATAAGCTTTCTTCTTCTACATATGCAAACTATCAAGTGAGTTTGAACTCAAATGGAGTATAAATAAAAAATCCACCATTAATCCTAATTAAAAAAACTCAAATTTCTCTATTTCTAAACCATGAAATGAGCTATATATACTAGCAATGAAATGCGGATACTAGTTTTGATGAACTACTATAAGCTCCTTCATCTACATATGCAAACTATCAAGTGAGATTGAGCTCAAATGGCGTATAAATCAAAAAATCCACCTTTATTCCCAATCTAAAAAGTAAAAAAATTCTCTATTTCTAAACCATGAAATGAGCCATACTAGCAATGAAACATGAGAGAATGAAGTTGCTAACCTTTAGAACCCTAGAATGATTGGAGGAATCGAATGAAGTCTTTCACCAAGCATGAACTCCTTCTCCACGAGCAAGAACAGAGCCGGAGAGCAAGAACAGAGAGCTTGAAATGGCTCGGGCTTGGGGAGGAAGAAAGCTATATTTATAGTGTGGCCCTTTACTCCCGGTGGGTAGCTACCACCGGGACCTTTAGTCCCGGTTGGTGGCTCCAATCGGGACTAAAGTCTCCTCCTGCAAAAGCCTACAGCACTAGCCGTTGGGCCAAGGACTTTAGTCCTGATTGGTGGCTCCAACCGGGACTAATGCTCCCTTTAGTCCCGGACCCAACTCTGGCCGAGACTAATAGTAAAACCGAAGGTCTATTCGTGAATATTGTTCTCCAACTAGAATAGTAATAACATTTTTTAAAGATTTGTTTAATATAATGCAGACCAGCAGCTGAAAAACTAAACTTCATTCGCTTTTCTATCTCTGTCTATATCTATATGATCTATATCCATATCTCTGTGTCTCGTGTGTTAATGACATAACGGTTCCGTTAGACCGAACGGGTAGCCTAGTCTCACATGCGAGACACGATTCACTTTCCTTGATCTAGGCTACATGCTAACGGGTAGCGTAGTCTCACATGCAAGACACAATTCAGGGGGTGTTGGTAGGGCTCCTCCTAAGGGGCTGCTCTATTTTTACAGAAAAATGGCTCTTTTTACAAAATGTTTGGTAAGGCTCCTTCGAAGAAGCCAAAGCCGGAGAGGGGCTCTACCAAACACGTCCTCAGTTTCCTTGTCTAGGCTACATGCAAGCGTACTAGAGCGGAGGACGAGTGGATGATGATGCATCACAGGATTCACTGTCCTTGATGTAGGCTACATGCAGACATAATACAAATCAGGACGGTGGTGTAGAGGATGAGTGCACGACATGCATATCTAATCTTGTATTGAGACCAGTTACGATTGAAGTATTCTTATTCACCATGTGTATTTTTAGTTATAACTCCATTTTTGAATAGAAACAACGTAAATCAGTTAGTTGAGTTCCTTGTGGTAGAACATGTCTACCCAAGTTTAAGTCCTCGACTTGGTACGAGTGCTTGCATTTTCCTGGATTTATTTTAGGATTTATCGGCGCTATGCTTTCAGTGGTAGGCGGCGTCCCCGTCGACAGCGAGGCACTTGTGTTAACTTCGTGAATCTTGAGATCTGCCGGCTCAGTTCTTCGAAGGTGCTCGTAGAGGTAGGGTTTGCATATCTCGTAGGGGTAGGGTTTGCGTATCTGCCGGCTCAGTCATTCGGAAGTGCTCATAGAGGTAGTGTTTACGTACGTGTGTTCATAGAGGTGAGTGTGCGTGCGTGTGTAGGCGTTCCTCTGTCTCCCCCCTAAATACAAGTCATGTAAGAATTAGAACTTTGTTATCTTTTGATCAATAATTAGTTTACTTATATAAAATTAAAAATTTTACATCACAAAAAAGGTTACAACAAATCTGTATTTGAAAATAGTTTTTAGTGATCAAGCTTTTGTTATTATAAATTATATTATAAAGAAATTAGCAGTTAAGAATGTGATCTTATGGATTGTACCAAGTCAAATTGCGTCTTGCATTTGGGACGGAGGTAATAGTGAGATAGCAAGATGGGAAGTTTGGGGAGGGACCGAGGGCAAGCTCCCACGGCCATTGGCTGCCTCCTGCCTTTGCCATCTCCGCGCTTACGGATATCCATAGCAAAAGGGATCCGTTCATTCGAGATATGAGTTGCTCTTTATAAGCTCGGCTCAAAGTAAGCTAACGCATATGCTTCTGAAACAACAATAATCTGAATATCCAATCCCGACCATCTGATGACAAATAAAAATATTCTATCAATAGTTTGCATGATGCAGCAGCAGATTTTCCACTGCTTTAAGATAACCGAGAAACCTTTCAAAAAAATGTTAATCGAGAAAAAGAAAGCATTTCAAGAAAGTTCTCTACACGGCTAACTGGTATAAGAAAGGTAGGTTCACTGGTTGACAAAATATTCCCGACTTGATGCTGCAGACACATTGTGGACCTTGATGCCTCGAATCCTAAGCTAGGTAACTGAATGCTCAGGAGAATGTAGTGTCGTTCTCCACACAAACTAACGGTTATCCATTTGCACGAGTATGCTCCCTTCTATTCCGACGATTTTGACCGATGTGTTTGAGTGACCCTTGAGGAACAAATCCGTGACCTGCAATGAAATGGTCTGCAGTAAGTACGGTTTTCAAAGCCCCCAAACAACAGATGCTCTTTACTCAGATGATACTACCAATCAACAGGTGTTCCTAATGTATGTTTACTGTTGATAGAAAAAACATGATTGGAACTGCTGACAGAAAGAACATGTTACAGGAAGTATATTTATTTATGTTTACTGTTGAGGCAGTATTGCTCTGTTTGCTAGGAAGGTCATCATACCTGGGTACAACCAAATAGCTTAAGAATCCTCAATGTTGGGCAGCTGTCGACAATCAGCCCCAAAGCTTCGTCTGTCAGTTCACGGCAGAAGGAAAGATCCAGGGCCTCCAATAGAACAGAACACTTAAGAGAAATTGCAAGGGCAGTAAGGTCTCCAACCTAAATGAAATACATAAGATGAGAACTAATTATTTGCGAAGGATTATTCATAAGTGAAACAGATGAAAGACATCACAAAAAAATGGTCAAGGAAATAGCACATGTTAACCAACTTAATAAAATTTCCCAGTCGGATTGAGAAGAAACAAGCAAAAAATTAGTAAATAATAGTTTAAGTCGTTATACACTTCAACCAACAAAAGATTATGGCCTGTTTGGATCTACTAAACTTAGCATTGCTAACTATTAGCACCTAGTAGCAACCTTCAACTTGCCACAAAATATACTAATGGTTACAACACATATTAGTAGGTCGGGTGTTTGGAGACACACTTGCTATTTTTTTAGTTGCTAGCCATTAGCACCTTTTGGATCCAAACAGGGCCTAGACAGAACTTTTGTGCAACAAAGATATTTTAGCCAAGTGATCAAAATAACAGGTCCCTGATTTGAATATAAAATTTTCATAGTCATGTTAAAACCAATTTCAGATAGCTGAAGATACATCAGATTGGTTCTTAGTTCCCACTGCCACCACATAAATAGTGATGCAAGTTTGATGCAGCCTGAACAAACTCAAACATGCCCATGCCCATGCCCAAATGTAGATTTGCAGTTTGTTCATACTCTCCATTGCGCCCAACCAATCATGTCTCTCAAAAATCATGTTATATGCTTACACCAAACCAGAAATGTTCAAATATGCACTCATTAAGTTCCAGCTTGAATAAATAGACTGAGTGCATAAATGAAATGTACCTCTCCCCACTCAATATTCAAGTACAGTGTGATCCCTGTTACCGGTTCTCTAACTCCCGCACATTATAATGCTCCTGACTAGCCAACAGACATTTGTTGCATGTAACGCCGTCCTAAGGTTTACTTACCCCTTTTTTTATCAGTAACAGGTCTTCATATAGTAATTTGCATCTATGTTCACATCATGTTGTGTCTGTTCCACATTATTAGTGCAACCTAAGTTCAAACTAAACCGCCTCAAAATTAATCCATAAATAGCTTTTTCTCTCTATGTGGTATTGAACCTTTTGCATGGTCTCTTGCTCAAAAAGAAGGAAATAGACTAAAGGGTCCACATAAAGGGCGTACCCAGTGCAAAGAGCTCCCGCTCTGTGCGGGGTCTGGGGAAGGGTGTCAGTAGCAAGCCTTACCCTAGCCTATGCAATGCGAGGAGACCGCGACTCGAACCCAGGACCTTCCGGTCACAGGCGGTAAGACTCTACCGCTTGCACCAGGCCCGCCACTAAAGGGTCCACATCTAAACAAAAATATAAGGTCGGTCCCAAGGATAAGATTTATATCATTCAGGGATTGCCACATATTCAAGAAGGGAAAGAATGGACAAATTACCTTCTTAACATTGTTTAGCATTAACTCAGTCAGGCATCCTCCAGATTCTTCCAAATATCGAGACACAGCTTCATCACTGTAATAATGGATCAAGTTAACTAATTATAACATCGGGAAGAATTTGCAGCGATCTCATTACACGACAGAGCATATTCTGATCAAGAAAAAATAACAGTACCATCAAATGAATTAATGGGTGATACTTTTTGATAAAATGGAAGACACAAACTGTTAAAACTTGCTGATGTCAACTTCCAGGACACCTTCAGGAGCTTGGAAACCAACCAAGAGTCACTAAATTACAGTAGTGGTTTGCCTTTCCTTTTCCTTTGTAATCTATCAGGTCTAAGTAATTCATCAACTTTAAAACAGCAGTAGTTTAGTTATACAGATGGCAGAACTGGTGCTACAAGTGATTAAGTGGGTCATGACATATTACTCTCAGACCCTCATTACGATCAGTCAGAAAAAAAAAATATCAGCACTTCTACAATGCACAAACATAAAGAAAGGGCAAATGAGTTAGCATAGATAAAATGGTTAGAATGCTAGAAAGAAGCTAAATAAGACATGCATAATAATCATTATGCATCTGAGTTTGGAAAACAATAATATGCAAAAAGAATTTGACGTAAAAGGACATGAATGTTTGCACAGCGCTTAATTCTGCTTAGTAATGAGGCACTTCAAACTTGGATCAACCAAAATAACAGGGGAAGTGGGGCGATACCTGAATGCATTTCTTTGAAGCTTTAGTTTCCTTATTAGCCTACAGCCACGAAGATGCCTCATTGCTGAGTCACGCAGCCTATCCAAGTTGCGGAGGTCCAACGAAGTTAATTCTTGACAGTATTCCCCAATAGTCTTGATGGAAGATGAAGTAAGTTCCCTACATTTAGATAGCAAGTCAGATATGCAGCTCCATGTTGCTTCTCTATACTTGCATAATAGTAATATAACTATGGTACTGATACTTCCAAAAGAAAACTATTGCCTAAAGTAGGAATTTGTAAATACTTACAAGCAACCAGCAAATGCTAACTCCTTCAGATTTGAACCATGAACAGCAATGAGCTCTTTCACAAACTTGTCACACACGGACTGTATTCCGGACATTGATAAAACCTCTAGATGATTAATCTTCTGTAGAGCAGGAAGAATCGCCAAAGCATCCACGTTTGTGCATTCATCTATATACAGTTCTCTAAGAACTGAATGTAACTTGTTTGCAAGAACATCGATTCCAGATGAAGTGAGAAGAGAACACTCGCACAGATTTAGGGAGGATAAAGAAGGTGCAGCAGAGATGATTGTGCCTAAACCATTATCAGAAAGCCGATAATTTCCCTTCAGAGATATTTTTCTCAACAATGGCATGCAGTTAGGAACCTTAGCTAAGGTAGATGGCAATATGTAATCAGGCATGCATCTCCCAGATATATCAAGCTGTAGATCCTACATTAAGACAAACACTGAATGAGTTCTCACAAGTTAATTTACCCAGAAGAAATAAGGTCGTATTGAAAGGAATAAATAATGTGTACATAGCACAGAAACTGCAGAGTAAACAAATAGTACCTGCAAGCTTTCAGTGCTGCATTTCTCAAAAGTTTTCTCAAAGTCATCCTCACTCAGCCATGAACACTCACTGAGATGCAGTTCTGTAGGACTGTCACACAGTAGTTCATGGAGAAGATGAGTCTTCATCTTCCTGGAATGACACAGAATCTTTAACAGCTTATTCTTTAGCTCCTCTGGGATACCTCCAAGTGATTCAATACATTCAGAATGTTCCATAAGGGTGTTTAAGCATAAGCTTGAAAGTGACGGGGCTTGAGCTCGTGCTGGATTTTTCCTATCCTTTGAAGGAGACCAAACAATGACCCTATTTGCAGATTTGCCCACCTTTGAAGAATTCAACTCTCGAGCTCTCAACTTAGCTTCTCTTTCTTCATATATCCTTGCAGCAGTTGCAAATGGGCCTGGCCAGTCCTGAGCGTCAGGATCAGCCTGTAGCTCTTCTTCTTCATCATCTTCACTATGCTCATCTTTATCTGCTTTGAAGAATGCAAATTTAGGGCCAGCCTGATAGCCCTCTCTTTTGCTGTTTGTCTGCGATGTGACTCCATAGAAGCAGAAACTGATCCTAAGTTGTGCTGAATCTCTTTGGAATCCACTGCATCGAAATCTGGCTTGTCCTCAATTGAGCTCAGAGATGATAGACTATCTTCTACAACCATCTTTCCCTTTCCTTTGCGATCAGGATTGAATTTGCTGGAACTGGTACCGACTGCAGAGCCCACATTAGCATCAACACGAGAATTGTTATTCCCCAAGACAAGCTTCTCTTTCACTTTGACTTCCTTTCTAGAACTGTATTGGCTCGAATCTTCATTGAAATACATAACTGCAGAGACTTTTGCTTCAAAACTTGAAGGACTTCCTGAAGGATATACTAACTGCTCAACCACCCCACCATTTGCTGTCCGTAACAGATTATGTGTCTGCAGAGACTCCCCATTGCTTGCATTGGCAGGATCATCCACATCCCCCTTTTCAGTCCTATCCATGTTCATAGCAACAGGACTGGGTTTGATCCAACTTGAACCCAGAATCTTGCAATCATCGTCAGAATCGCTATCTGTATCAGACACATACTCTGTCTGCACTCCACCAACCAATATGGTCTTGCACCGCTTCGTCGGCGTCCCCACGTCCCGGTGCAGCATTTCGTCATGCACCTGGCCTCGACGAGACGACCCAACCCCACCTCCCCACCCGCCTGAGCGCCCGCCTCCATCCGCCGCTTCCCGATCCGAGACAGTGACCGCAGGATCGTGAACGGATCGAACCGCCAGAACCGTGGCCGCTCGCCAAAGCCCTATCCGCCCCCGACCCGCCGCCGTCGCTACTGGAGTTCCCGGTCCTCGGCGAGACGGTAGTACCAAGCGAAGAGGCGGAGACTCGAGCACGGGCCCTCCCCACCTCTTCTCGCCCCCGCCCGACCCGGACTCGGAGGAACTGCCGTCTCGCGCGGAGGGAGTGTTTGGACTACCTGCGGCGGCGCCGGCGAGGCGCAGGCTGCGTCGGAGAGGCGTGGCGGCGTGGGGGCTGAGGTTGGGGATCCGGCGCCGACGTCGTCGTCCTCGGGGGAGGCGGGGCCGAGGCCGAGGCGGAGGGCGGCGCCCGCGAGGCGCAGGCTGTGTCGGGGAGGCGCGGCGACGGGTTTCTTGAGGTCGAGGGATCCGGCGCTGTCGTCGTCGGGGATGCGGGGCCGATGCCGAGGCGGAGGGAGGTGGATGGGGACGGCACGGGGTGCGCTGCGGGAACCCGCCGCCGCCTCCGGCGGCGACGGCGGGGATGCCGTCTTGGCGCGTGAACGGGTGCGGGGCATCGCGGAAAGCGTGACGGCGCAAACGCACGAGGAACTGAGGAGGGAAGCGTGACGGCGCGAGGGGTTTGGGTTTGGAGGGTGCGCGACTGCGCGGGCGGGGAGTTGGGGAAGTTTTGGAGGGGCGCGGAAGGGAGGAAGAGGAAGCTTGCAGGGGAAGGAGGCCGGAGGCGGCGCGGGGTTGGCGGGCCGGGCAGTTTGCTCCTCGTTTTTAATGGTTTTCCCGCGCAAATGGGAAGGGCAGGGGCCGCGGGGCGTCAGGGCGGTCGCCTCGGGTGCGGCGCCGTACGGTCGTCGTGTCTCCGGGCCTCCGGTCGTGGCCCGAGGTGGGCGTGCGGGGCGCGGGGAAGCCCGTGCTGGCGGTTGGAGTCTGTTGAGCGGTGGCCGGTGGTGAAGAACCGGACCGGAGGACCAAGAAATGGTTTGCTAGGTGGACGTGGACTTTTTCAGCGGCCGCGGACACCGCCGGCGATGATGGTTACAGCCTTACAGGCAGCGTGTGCCCTGCGTGCTGTTGCGCACTTGGTTCTCCTTTGATCTCTTTCGTTATAGGAGATGCGTTAGCGGAATCGTGTGACCTTTTCTCCGCTACCTGATGTAGCCAGATTAGTGGGAGACGCGTCATCACAGAACAAAAGTTGCCCAAAGCGTGTCCGGTGGCTGAAACTTCGCTGAAATTTGGCTTACGCTGATTTATTGTGAGAGAAAAATATTATTCGTTCATTAAAAAATACTGTTAAAGTAGTTAAGCGAACACGGCCGACCGCTTCAGAGGCACTTGTAGTCAAATCTAGTAGCTACACTAATCAGTAATCACCACCATCCACATTCTACAGCGACGCAGCTTAGACACGGTATCCATCTCATAGAAAAATGTCAGATCATATGGATACTATGTATAGAAATCATATTCTAATAGTATTATTTTAAAAAATATATCTAAAAGTGTATCTATTCTCTTCTATTATCTATCTGTCACGTGTCTTCATATCTTAGTTTTTGTGTATACATATTTTCTAGCATAGATTAATTTTATTATCTTAGGGGGTGTTTGGGACTGCTCTGCTCCACGTTTTTCAGCTCCGCTCCATGTTTTTTAGCCAAGCGGTTTCAGCTCCACGCACTCTATTCGAAGAAAAATGGTGGAGTTGTGAGAGCATCTAAAGATGTGCTCCACAAACTCTAATTTTTTGTGGAGTAGAGTTTATGGAGCAGTCTCAAACACCCCCTTACTCCCGCTTTTCCTGAATGGATAGATTTCTAACAAGTTTACGACAGATTAGTTTAACAGAGAAAATACCATACTACCCTTCATTAATTGGAGTACTTGCACATCTTTAGGCGATAATTCCAGTTGCATGATAATTATAGCGTTTACTACATACATCCAACTGCAGAAACTCATGCCTCGATTAGAGAATTTGGGGGACGATAATAAATATGAGAGAACTCCGAGGAAAATAAATAGGTTGATGGACCATTTAGCCTCAGAGAATGACAGGTTAGATATTTTTCCACCAAATGTTTCTAAACAAAAAAATAGAATGACCAAACCTTCTAAACTATAGTTGTTTGGAGGTATGCAATGCAACAACAGAGCATCTGGCATCAGAAATTTATGTGAAACGATATATAGTCATTTGAATATATGTGCAAGTCGTGAAAAACATATTGAATGCTTTTACATCATTGTAGACAACCCAGACTCTTTAAAACATACAATTCAACAGACTGTACATCCAAACAGGAATTATAATTGGTTGTTTTTCTGCGATTCCAGCTATCAACTAATTGCACATCCAAACAATGGCATTGGTATTCCAGGCTATTTCCAATGCCCGTCAGCTTCGGTATTCCAGGCCAATTCAATTCCTCAGCCTGAATTTCTACATCCAAACATAGCCTTATAGTCACAGCAAACTTCAGAAAAGAGTGCACAAAATTACTATGACGAACACTCTAAACAGGTAACAGATAGTCTCAAATGCTGAACAATGATCTATAAATGATAGTCTCAAATGTTGAACATTGATCTATAAATCCTTGCATATATAGTTCATATGCTCAGAGAAGCAAAAGAATGGCGTGCCACTGCAAACAGAAGATGGTGTTCAGCTCCTTCTCACAAAGCAAAATAATGGCCGAAAACATCACACCTACTTACAAGCTCACAAAGCAAAGGCACAAGCTACAGCAAAAAGAAGGGCCGCCACCAGCCTCGATGCACCAGCATTGATCGAAATGGCGCCATTCGTCGGGCCCATGCAGTCGTCATTGTTGCCACTGAAGCACCCCGGATGGATGGCAGTCTTGGGCACTTCGCCATCCACCTTGAAGCTGGTAGTAGGCTTCCCGTCGCTGAACAGGACACACCAGAAGTAAGGTCCACCACCATCCGTGCCACTCACAGCTGCCCCAACCTCTGTGTGGTTCTTGCTGTGCAATATTTGAAGGCCCTTCGCATCATTCACCAGGATGTCAAAGGCCTCAGCTGGACTCACGTACTTGGACTGGCAGCCCACAAGCCTACCGGTAATCTTGGAAAGAGTTGTGGCTTGGACGCCACAGGTTGGGGCAAATGTGTCAGTGAAACTTGACTCCATCGGCTTCTTGTCATCCACCTGGTCACATTGACCTTCATATGCTTTGATGTACTGCAGAGCGATGCATCCCAAACCTTTATTATCGGAAACAGTAGAAGCCTTGCTGGCAGTACGGTTGCTGTTGATCAATGTAACCAGCTGATCCGCAGGGTTGTCTGAAAAGAATTAAAGAAGATAATTCAAGCACCATGTTGTACAAAAATTATTACAAATTTCAAGGTTCAAGAGGAAATGAAGATGCAAATGCATCCTAGATAAATGCTGCAATCACAAGAATGTAGAATCAACAAATACAGTAAATATTTAAGCTTAGTTAACACACAGGAGTACTAAAATAAATATAGATTAGGTCTGTGGAAGATTGGCATCCTAGTAATTTAACAGACCTTATGCAGCAGTCTAGCAGATTGTACTACTTTCTACTTGAACAAATAGCTGTGAGCAATACCGAGAACATTCCATGGATAAAAAGAAAGTAACAAAGTAGGCCACTGTCCCACTGAAACTTCATTCCTTAGAAAAATCTTAGTTACAAGAATAGTATAAAATTAGTCATGAAAATAGTGCTATTTTTTTCATAAAAAAATGTTGCTAACTAATAGTGTTATTTAAATATTTGGGCAAGGTAGCTACATTACATGGGAGAACTGCCTTACGTGTAAGAGTTAAATGAAGTGCAGCAAAACCATACATTATTTTCAGATTATTGTTAGTCTTTGAAAGGAACCCTAGGTACCCTGCCTTATAACGTGTGAAGCATTGATATTAACAAGGGTAGATAGGAAGCATAAATATTGTAATGGATGATAGATCAGTAATTTATACATGCTCATGAGGACACTATGAATCCTCAGTAACTCCCAAATCCCTGAGCCCCTTCAGTCGTGAGACAGTTGAAGATACTACTGCAGGCAGCGTATTTCCCCAACCCCTTCTCTGTCATCGTTATTGCCAGTCATCGCCTCCATGTGTGTCCTCAAGTCAGGAGCCACATCGGCGTCTCTTTCCATCTCCCTTGGCCGCTCGTCACTACCAAAATTGCCACCACCCGAGAGGGGTCCATTACCTTCGCATGATGGCTATGGACGACATGTGGCAACCAATCTGACAGCATACAGTATCCAATAGGTCCTCCTCTCAGTTGGCACTGGCAGGGCTGCTTTTCTTGTTCAGTTTGTTTTTATTTATTGCCTTGTTAAATTTCGAGGAGGAAAACAGAACTCAAGAAGAGTACAAAACTATCCTCCAATATAATTTCGTTGAGCCAATACATGATTTTGCATCCTTCCACCTTGACCTGTAATTGCTACCTAATCCACCATTTAGTGGTACCAGGCCACGACTTTAGTATCTTTTTGATAGGTAGCTCTCATCTTTTATCATTTGATTTAAACTAACATTTTAGAGGGATGGTACCTGGGGTTCTCTTTAAGCACCACAACACATCTCTGTTTTTTCAAGAGTCAACATTGATAATATATTGGTGATGTTGCTAAAACCTCCCCCATGGCTAATATCCTATCTCATTGTCATATTACTTAGAGAGATATGTCATAGTACAGATGAACCTTCAGCGTAATATTAAATAATTCATTTCTATTGCACGACAAAAAGACAATTTATTTAAATGCTCCACGTCTGCAACATAAGTAAATAATGTAGATTATGCTATTGCCATCAAAGCAATGAAGCAAAGTTTCCACATTTAGATCTCCCAAACACTAGTCGCACAGAT